TTTCAGGTTCCTATTGAGGAAAAAGTTATTTAGTGACAATTATCTTTATTGCTTTAGTGCCTAGCTGTTGTTAGTATGCAGCACTTATCTAATGGAGTATGACTTTAGGTAGCCACCAAATAACTGAGGACTATGCAGAAAAATATACTCATCAAACCCTTATTATTAGTGTTCATGATATATATGTATCTGTAATGCTGTTTGTTTTTGTTTGTTTTGTAGAAATTTTGTTTATAGTTTGTACACACCAGGTGAGGTAACTGTTGCACTTATTGATACTATCTGTATGTGTGAATGTCAGGAGGTTTTAGTATACAGTTATGTCTAAATTGGAAAAGCTGGGACCACTGGTTTTGAACATGTGACATAAACTGTGAATGAATTAATTGTGCATTTGTGCTTTCTTTCCTTGTGCTCGCTAGCTGCATAAAAGAGCTGTGATTGGCCCTGAGAACCCTCCTTATTCAGCTTACCTCAGTTCCACTGCCAAATTGTGAACCATAATACACTGAGAACGTTGAGCATTCCAGGCTTGCTTCGACAACGAGGTTTGTGAGGTTTTGAGGCAGTTTGTTTCCATGGATTCAGCTTAAATCACATTTGTTAGTCTGTAGTATTCTCAGGTGTTTGAACGCTGTTGTTTATTAGTGTATTATTATTATTATTATTATTATTATTATTATTATTATTAATGCTATAAAGTGTAAACCAAAGTTTAATACAGTTTTATGTTTACACTGAAAAGTGTACCAATCAAAGTATTAATCAAAAATGAATTGTATTATTTTATAATCAAAAATATTGACTAAATAATTCAAAAAAATGATTTACTAACTAATTTTTTGAAGCATTTTTGTTTTTGATCTCTCACGTCCCACTTTTGAATCACTCAAAAGTTTAAGTAGTTTCGTGACTCATAAAAATAAATCAGATACTTGGAAAGGGGTGGAGGGTTCATTTTGCTTGAGCTTTTGTTCATCGACTCTCAGAGATACTAATGAAGGTTGCTGCACATGGGTGATTAACTCACAGCATCACAGCACCTTTGAGGTCTTTGTTCCAAAGAGTGAAGGAAAATGACTTTCATCGCTCTCTGTAGCCTCCTCAAGATTTCCTATTTATTTTTCAATCCTTTATCTACATTACAAACTCCTTCCACTGAATATCTGGTAGAGCTAGTATGTTTTTACCCGTTTTCTAAATGAAGCAAATGCACATAAAAAAACTTTTTATTTTTTATTTTTTTTATTTTTTATTTTTTTTATAGAGGAATGAGAGCATAGAGGGCAAAATCAGTGTTTCCAAACAAGATTCCCAGGTGATCCTAAAAGCTTCTCAGCATTAGTTAAATCCAGTGATTGCAGACATTAGACATTATCTACAGAAAGTAGTAGTTTTGGTAATGGGATGTCCCCTCTTATTAAACCAACCTTAAGGGAAATAATTAGTTGATTCCCTGCTGAATTAAGTTTGCTCACTTACATTGAAACAGTCTTTTAATGGTATTTTATTTTAAGCAATAGAGATGAAATATCAGCCAAAAATCCAGAAAAAACATGCATAAAAGTTATAAATTGATTAGTAAATGATTGAGCAATATAAGTATTTGACCTTCCACAACCCAGCCAGAATTCTTGCTCCTACAGATGGGCTCACAGGTTACTATTGATCTATTACAAATACTCCTGATATCAACTCATTATGCTGCAATTATTTAGAAATAGAAATATAAACTAACCATCAGCTGCGCACAGTCTGGAGCTTAATGCTGAATTTTCAACAGAAAATTCAACTTATCTTGTAATAGTAACAGTAGCTTTACCAAAGTTCATACATTTGCACTTTGGACTGTACAAATTATTGAATATTTGTGCTCTATGTGTTTCCCTTCATATCCTTAGAGTGCTTTTTTTTTTTTTTCCCCTCACTGAACTTCAGTTATTGCATATCCTCTGAATTTCACTGGTTGTGAATATCAACCCCAGAGTTGTGGCTCTGACAGAGGTGAATCTAGGAGGGTACAGAGGTGGGTGGACTGCTGGAGAGACGTGCCCTGATAAATCACATCTGTTCTGGAGATGTGAGGCTGATGCCTGAACTGAAGCGTGACCGAGTGTTGAGGGGAGAACAGCTGATCAGGAGTGGGGGGGTTCAAATTCAAACTTTTGACTCCTCCTCCTCCACTTCATCTTCATTCCCTTGGGCACGTGTTCTTTTGTGTCTTTGCAAACAGGAAGCCACTGTAAGTACTTTTAAGGTGCATGCATGAGTAAATTCATCTCTTTTTCCAGAGTAGTAGCTGAGGTGAACAGATGGAGCATCAGGGAGCGTTACATAACGTCTAATATCGAGCATCATGAGGGTAAAAAAGTGGCTCAGGATAACTCGATGTGTGTGGCTTGGTGTGAAGTTTACTTTCAGCATTTTAACATAAAATCTACCACTCCAATAGACACGCTGTGAACTTTATGTGGTTCATGTTATACTTATCCATAGCAGCAACACAACACCTTCTCTTAGAGTCTGACCTGTTTATTAATGCTGGCTCGTGGCACCACAGGGAAACCATTTAATATCAATCTGAAGATCCAACCAAGGGCTCAGTCAGGTTGTCTTGGGGTGACCGTACCACTCAATTCCTTTTAGTGGATGTGGCAGAATCCAGTGTTAAACTCTGGCTTAATTATTGTACTGCACAGCTCCTTGGACCAGAAAGGCTAAATTAGCAGAAATACCTGCCTGTGGTGTCACATTAATTGTGAGGCGAACACTTGTCGCTATAAGAGATAATTTAAAAGAAATAATCTTTTTGAAATATGAAGAGCTATTTTAAAGTAAGAGGGGGCACTGTGCCTGAGGCTTTTGCAGACTCACGTGAGTTAAATGTGCCTGAACTCTGTAATGGTTCCTGCATGGATTGAATTTCTAATAAGGCTGCCGACAAAAACCTGGACTGTTTGTATTGTATTATATTGATATTATTTGACTTTCAGCTTGAACAGTTATTTAAATAACAAACACAGTTGGATCTCTGCAATGTCAGCATGAATTATCTGGCAAAAGAAAGCCAACAAACATGCAAAATATGGTGACTGCAGTCTTGTTTTTCTTTTTTTTTTTTTTTAATCAAATATGCAAAAAAAGTGTTCCAGGAATTTGAAGCTCCCACCTAAATGCTTTCTATAAAGGATATACAGCCGTAGAAGCAGCAGTAAGGTTCACTATAAGATAGCATTGTATTCTTCATAGTGACTGTGCAGTGGTGCTGTTTTTGCTGCGCGCTCAGCTATGATAATTAAAAGACTCCCTCCCCTCGTGTCCCACCCCCAGAGTGCTCGCTGTTTCCTACACAACTCAAAGAACAAGTTCTCTGCGTTACCTAACATCGAGACATCGAGGGCGGGAACACTCAAAAATCCTGCTTCAGACACTGAAATTAACTTTAATTAAAATTTAATTATTATTATCCTTATTATTATCACCAGTCTCTTCTGCTGAAGGGGAGTAATTTCACCTCACAAAAGCAAGTTAGTAGCTTCAGGATTTGTAATCATGAAGCGAAGACTCGTGACTGAAAAATATGACTAGCAGGAACATTCCACCAAAAGGTTTAACAAGAAGTTATATTAAAGTTTGCCTCTTTATTATTTAAAAAGTAATTTCCAATATAATATTTACTTCACAGTATATATTTTTAAGCCTTAGCTTGAACAACTTTACATATCTGAAAAGTTGTTCAAGTATCTCAAAGGAAAGGAAAAGCATCAATTATGGTTTCCACTCGAACATATTATCTGTCTGTTGGAGTTGCATAAATACGGTCTCCTCAATCTGCACATTTTTTTTTCTTACGCGGTCTTTTTGGCACACAGAGAATTAATGTAACCATAAATCGTCCTCTTATTTGGAATACAGTTCATCATTATTATTATTATTAAACTAATGGGAGATTTTTTTTTCTTCTCTTATGATAGTCAACTCTGGTTTAATATGATACACAGGAGATTTCATAAATAATGATTATTTGTAATTGATTGAGAACATTTTAGGAATAAGCTGACTGGAAAGTGTGCACTACATCTTATGGACATTTTTTCTTGTCTTCATCCTGACTCTGCCTGTTTTCCACAACTGGGGCCTCAACTGGTTTTGTTTCCAAATGAAAATTCATATATTCATGCTAACTGGAAAAGCAGATACGAGAGCAAATCTGAGCATGTAGCTATGAATATTATTTAACATGTTAGAGTCATGCTTATTCCCATGAGCTTCCATAAACAACCGACTGAATTAAGTAGCTATATGGTTATTGACAGTAAATCTGTTTGCTGAAATGAAAATGTGGACGCCTGCTCGTTTAAGTGCATATCACCTTTGGGGAAATAAGAGAAATAAAAGCAAAGACAAGGATGAGGATATTTTGGAGTGAGTTAAAGGCAGACAGTAAAGGTAACAGTTAGTGACAGAAAGGCAGGGAAGAACATTTGTCAGACTGCAGGGTTTCCTCTGAGGGAGGTCACTAACCCTGGCGTTTACCTCTGTGCAGCTTGATGTCATTTGCATGTTCACACGTTCGCATGTCAATTATCAGACCTCTAACAGCGCTGTCACATGTCGACTGTGGTTTATGTCTACCCTCCCTCTGAGGAGAAAGACGAGACGGCAGGAGGAGTACAGACAAACAGTAATGCAAACTAGAATGATTAAAGATTTGTATTTTCTAATTATGTTTTTGTTTTATATCAGTTTCAGTGTGCTTTATTATTCTTATGGCATCTTATTAAAGGTATCTTCTGGATTTGGTAAGAAAGTAAAATGAATGTTCATTTTCTATGAAAAATGAAATGTGTGCATCCTGAAGTGACACCTACTTAAGACAAACATTTTTGGCTAATATAGATACACATATTGTTAAAATAATAGTTTAATAATCTTTCCTCCCTTCATCTCACTGTGGGTTTGTGATTTTTGTGGGTTATTTTTTTCTTTTTTCTTTAAAGGGAAATCGGCACCTGCAGGACTGGTGATATGTTCATTGTCCACAGGATACTCATCCAGGCTTCATTTACACTGTAGATGAAATGATGGCGTCCCGCTGACTGATGACTGGCTGCACAGTCTGGGTAATAAAACCAGTTTACCCATCACACCGATTTTCTGTGCAATACATATTTCCTCCAGGTGTAAGCAGTGGCTGGCTGCCTTGGAACAGCAAATGCATATTGATGCATGCAGAATGATTTCATTCTTAATGACTTTTCTGCTTCATTCTTCTGCTTTGATTGAGCTACAAAAAAATCAATATACACCAGCAGCCTTCCTCCTTTCATATCATTGCAATTTGTCTTTACAAAATACATCCACACATGCTTAATAGACAAATACATAATGTAGCACTTATTCCCACAGTGATTTCAGCTATTCATGGTGACTCATGCTGGCCACAGTAATGAGTGAGACACCTCATAAAAAGGATGAGAAAAGCATGCAGGCCTTTCAGCCGTCCTCTGGCTCATCCTCTCATTGCCTGTTCCACGGATATTTCAGGAGTGATATTTCAGTCCTCCACTTTAATGCTTTTGTTGATGGCAGCTGAGCGTTTGTGACACACACCTGAAGATACAGGCTAGCAGTCATATCAAATGTCAGGACTGGGGAAATGGTTTAAGCATAAGCCGCTCCTTCAAACCGCATCTCTGCTCCGTCCTTTTGATCTTCTCGGATTATCAGTGATGTCTCCCGGTTGGTCTGCATCAACGACAGCCTGTTGGTTGCTGATCTGATTTTTAGTGCACGGTTGAAAGGAAGCCTGTAGGAAAGCATTGAGTTCCTGTTTGAGTTTTGGATGAAAGCCCACATGACAGGCTCACAGTGTCTTGTGTGTTGTTGTCCATAGGTGGGCAGTGTTAGAGAGGTAATAAAAGGTAGATCCAACCCACTTCTCCCCCCCTCAGAGGGATAAGCAATCTGATTTTGCTGCAGTTTTTCCTGGAAGATCCGTCTCTAAACCGGAGCATCCAGGCAAGAGGCCAGAGACTCAGGTGCTCAGTGCTCAGTGAAGCAGAGAGGAGCTCTGCCTGTGTGTCACTTTGACATGAATGTACTGTTTCTGACTGTGTGTTGCCCTGGATGTGTAGTTATGAGTGTAGTTTTGAGTCGTACTTTGGAAACTGTATTGTTTTCTGCAGGGCTGTGCAACTTAAAAGGTTGTAAACCACAGCACCTGCACCACATGCTGTCAGTCAGGAGTGTGCTTTTTGTTGTGGTGTCTGCATAAAAGCTTTTACATGTGCACTTCAGCTGCCAGCTTCACTTGTGAGTGAACTGTCCCAGTGAGGAGGTTATTTCTCAGGGGATTCCGACTCTGACAGTGGGTTGCTCTTGCAAGCTGAGCCCAAGAACCCATGGGACAGAGAGAGACTGTTTTTAAAGTCTCCCCAGGCTTCATAACATAAAGTAGTGTTTAGGATAGTTTCTAAAGAAAGAGGTTATGATTGAATCAGGCTTTGTGGTATATCTGCAGAAAGCAGAATCAAGGGGAAAAACAGCTGAGAGCCATATTACAGAGAAATTGTAGCAGAGATTTTGGGTGGTGTCCAAAATTTGGGGATATTGGTTTCTACCTCCCCTCCAGTGCAATAGAGATAAAGGAACAAAACTGAAATTATTACCTCTTTCAATAAACCCAATAATCCCAAAATGGAAGATTTTAGGGAATAATTTGAGTTAGAGCATTTATCTCTGTTAAATTTAACTAAAGGCATGTATGAATGACCAATGGTAAAAGTTTGCACCGCTATGCAAAAGTCTTGAACCACACCTCAATTCTTTGCTTAGCTGGGAAAATTGGAAATGGATGCAATGCTATATTGAAACGTGCACAAATATGAATGGAAATACAGTATATGTATTTCAAACAGAGTTTGTACAGTTCTAACAAGCTTGAAATTCAATTCGGATGTACCCTTCTTCCAGGCCCAACCGACTCTACATTTATTAAGCCTTTTTTAACATGTTTTAATGCTTTGTATCTTGTTCTATTTAATCTCAATACCCCCTAAAAACAGTCAGTGATCACTGTCGGCCTCCCTCTGTTTTTATTACCACTGTTCATTTTAAAGCTGTTTTTAAAACCTTGCGATGTAACTACAGCCCAGCCCATGCAGCAGTATATTAAAGACTAACCTTATATTGCAGTTGTTCTCCTGACTGAAGTTTGGTCCGTTTACAGCATCCTGCCATGCAATTGCATTTGTCCCTGACCATCGGGAACCCTCATGTTAACTTTTATCGAGTGGAAAAAAGTTAGCGTTCGTCCTCCATCTTCTCTGTGTTTATGTTATGCTAACATAGCTGTGTCGCTAGCGATCACATAGCACTTCATTATATACCAGCTAGTCCAACTTCAGTAACCCTAAAACGTCACTGGTGTTTACTTTCCTGTTTTCATTTATGTTGGAAGTTATAGCAGAGCTGTACGTTTAAATTTTTTCAGAAATCTCTCAGTCAGTACATTATCTATTGTCTTTAGATGGAAACTAGCGAGCTAACTTCTAACTGTTAAATTTCATAAATTCTGTTTTCATGGATGCCTGGATGTTAAACTTAATTGTTAAACCTGGTAGAGCAGCCACACTGATCATTTTATTGCAGATGAAAGAAATTAGACAGTTTCTCTAGCTTGCAGTGTTTGTTTGACTTCGGGACCTGCCGTGGGGTTTGGGCCCAGACATGGCTAATGACGTCAGACTTAAAGACCGGATATTGAGTATGACTACCTTTATTCTTCTACAATGCCAGGACTCAATTAGGCAAGCTTTAAACAATAGTTCTCCAGGACAATAAAAGAAGAGTATTTCAGTATGCCATGCATCTTTTAATTGGAAGTATTTTTTTTGTTGTGTTATATTATATCTGTGTGAAATATACCTGATGATAGTGTTACAAATCGGCATGCTAGTGTTCTAGGGTTAGGGCCCTGGTAAGGCCAATCCAGGACTGATAGTGTTCCACTGAGTGTGGTGTTATCTGGGTATTCTTTTAATGTACTGGCGATGTATTTGGGATCATTGTTTTGTTGGAAAATGAAGCTATTGCCAATCTGATCCTTTATAGCATGATGGATCAGAATCTGACATTACTTCATTCATATTTCCATCAATTTTTACCAGATCTCTAATAACACTGGCTGAAATGCAGCCTAGTGTTTTGGGATGCGTGTTAAGCCATTTACCCTGCTGTGTCTGGCTGTGCAGGTGCTCAAAGGTTATCATGGCACTGTTGGCCCATCCTCGCCTTTGTTGCTCATTCGCTGCGAGTCATCTCTGCATTCCCTATAGTCTGTTTATTGTGGTTTAAAGCTTAGTTCCAAGTCGCATGCTCAGATCTGTGCGCCACATAAATCCTTTGATGATCTTGCGTTTGGATGTCCGCTGCACAAACATTGCTCTGCTCTGCCAAGCCTGTCATTCTGTTTAAGCTGCAGTGCTGTTTATGAGAGAGAGAAATTTACCGCAATAATTGGACTTGAGGATGGGGATTTATAAATATTACAATGTGCTGAATCTTTACCAATAACTGGTACTGCTATTTGCTGTCATGACCCCCCCAAGCTAGGAAAGATTAAAGATTGATCCTCTCCAACTGTACTGTAAAAAAAACAAACTCTGTGACATCTCTGTGCTACTGTGGTTGATCAAGACAAGATTTACAAATATTATATGGGGAAAGAAAAAAACCCGCTCAGACACAGGACATTAACGGAGTTGGCAGCCCAAACAAGCATCAGCTTTTTTGGGCTTTTACATTTTTTTTTTTCATCAGTAATTATCTGATTTTCTTCCAAGCATCTGAGCCAGGTTTATACAACTCTGAATCTTCACAGGCAGGCACTACAATCCTGTACGCACGTTGACAAACAGCTCAGTATCAAGTATAAAGTAGACACATTTGTAGTAATATATAAATTGTATATCACTGACGTTTCTGTGCATTTCTCTGATGTCCAGTTCATGGAGATTTACAGCACAAACAGTACAGACCTTTCAAATGTTCATATTTCTAATCCTCAAAAAAACCAAAAAAAACCCCAAAACGAAATTCACTAAAAAGCATGAAATAACATAATAGTGGAAATTTATCAGCCATTCCTCAGGTTTGCTTCTGCTCATCAAATAACTTTTTCCCTCTGTAAATCCTAGTCTGTTCTGCATTAACATTTTTAAATTCAATGCAAAGAGCCAACCAATTTATTTCAGTTATTTACTTATAAACAATTTCGAATACGTTCAGTGGCAAGTAAAGTTTGGTTTCTAATTCATGTTAATTATTTTAGTCAATTTCCTGCGGTGGCCCCGAGAGGCCAAACGGACTACAACTTAAGAAAACACCAGCAATAAGAAAACCACTGCAAAAGCAAACAAAACACAACGGAAATAGGAAAAACAAAAGTGGAAATGGGGAAAAAAACAGATTTCCAAAAGCACAAGGGAAATGTTTCTGGGGAGACAATAACCCAACGGACCAGTTGCAGTAACTAAAATATGCTCAGAATTGCGCTGGGAGACACTTAAAAGAAGTGGAGGATCTATCGGTTTTGTGAGGAAAGAAAAGATGAGAGGTAAGTGTGTTAGCCTAACTATTAGCCTAAAAATTCGTCATCAGTATTATATGAATCATGAGATTAAAACACACTTACCTAGCATATTTTGGTTCCTGCAACTGGTCTGTCGGGTTATTGTTTCCCCAGAAACACTTCTTTTGTGCTTTTGGAAATCTGTTTTTTCCTATTTCCGTTTCTGTTTTTCCTATTTCCGTTGTGTTTTGTGTGCTTTTGCAGTGTTTTTCTTATTGCTGGTGTTTTCTTAAGTTGCAGTCCGTTTGGCCTCTCAGGGCTACTGTAATTTTTTCTTAGACTACATCACTATAACTACTACTCTTTAGACAGCAGGTCTAATATCTGAAACATTAGATTTACTTTGTCATAATCTTCTTTCGGTCAGTGGCTTTAGAAGTCACCAAATGGGATCACCTGCCTCCGCACCTAACCCTCTGCATATCCTCCTTCACTAAGTACATGAATCGTCTCTGTGGTCTTTGTCTTTTTCTCCTGCCTGGCAGCTCCATATTCAACATCATTTGCTGGGGTTAAACTGGGTCAGAATGATCTGGAATAGCCTTCGGTTAATAAGTAATTAA